AAATGATGCTTATGCTGTCGTAAATAAAAGTATTCCAGGGTCACCAGGGTCTGCGGCATAAACAGGGGCACAAATACTGCCTGGAAAAGTGCCAGAGTGGTTTAAACATATAGGAAGATAATTTTAATGGTACTTTGCTTTCACTGTTATCGTCGAAAGGACTGATGAAGGTTAACACATAACTATAACCTTGTCACGAAAGCAAAGCAGAAAAAGTCTTAGCTATTGGTAATACTAACAGAGTAGGGAAAACCATATCATAGCCCTTTTGACCAGTATTTTCCAGCTCAGTCAGAGCAGTGTTCCTTTCCCATTGTATCTCTCTCACACATTCAGCAGTGAAATCTAATTGGATATTCATTCTGGGGCAGCTTTATTGAATTCACGAGCAGAGCACACGACATCTCAGGAAAACCAGTTGATGTTGTAAAATGCTGTGTCATGGGCTACCTGATGTTGCAGTGAATATTCCCTGATTCTCCAGATACATTCCACCCACAGCCCAGGAGCAATCACGGGAAATTGGCCTTTTCCTTAGAGAGGAGACACTTTGAACAAGAGGGTGAGGGAAGGAAGGTCTGTGTGCCCTTCGCTACTTCTGTCCAAGGGTGATGGAAAACAACTCCATGCAGGACCAAGAGCCAGCACAGACACTGTTTCAAAGGAGAAATCCAGAGGCCAGCAACAGAGAGGGTTTGGGATGTGTCAGTTCATGTGAGTTTTCAGGAGCAAAGCAGGCAGTTACTGTTTCTGGTGGGTTCTTAACTGTTCAATGGACTGCTCAATGGCATTAAATGGGCCATGCCATGAAGCTGCCTTGGGCAGTATCAGATCAAGGATACATGCTTTTCTCTCTGTATTTTTAATACCCACACAAGCATTTAGAGCACAGGCAGTCACTTTAAATAAAACTACAGCGATTGTAAATGCCACAGCTTGCTTATTTACTTACTGTCTCTTAGTCTGCCCAAAATGTGGAAATAATGTTTCCAGAGATGCTGGAATTCATGTGCCTGTTGAGAATCCTGGCTCCTGTCCTGGATGATATTGCATATTCAAGGGATGATTCACTCACTCCTGAGAGGGAGGATGGACTGTACCAGCTGTACCACCTCTCCATGGCTGACTGACAGCCCGGTGATGTTTCCACAAGGAAGCCTCATGCCTCCAGGTTAAGCCAGCAATTATGGAGCAAACAAAAGAGAAGTGAAATGGAGAGATGAATCACAGAGAGACCAAACAAAAGAGAATTGGAAAGGTGATGCCAAGCCAGACTGACAACAAAATTTTCATTTTTTTCAGCCCAAAATATATAGACAGGATTCTGCATTTCTTTTTTGTGTAGATTAACAATGTCCTTTGCCATCTGCAAGGGAGGATTCGGGAGGGACCAGCTCAGCTTTCAGGGTTGTGCCACCCCACTCCTGTGAAAGGGTGGTAAAACCTACAGCCAGCAGCCCTCCGTTGAACATCAGTAAGACCCAACCCTAACACCCTTGACTGCTCCATAAAATGACTTATAAGTTCAAGAAACAGGTTTACCCCTTTCGTACTCTATTTTTTTAAAAATTTCATCACTGTTGGGACAGGAACAGTGTGGGATACGAGGTTGATACCATACACACCTTGCCATAGATTTATCACAGAAGGGCTGCCCAAGGCTGTGAAGGCAGCTGACGGCTCCCAGCTGGCCAGGAACTCACCCGCGTGGCCTCTGCCGCTTCCTAATGGGAACAGGGTGGAAAAGCTGGGCTCAAAGGTTGCCCAGAATGACTAAGAGAAAAAAAATTCCTCCTGCCACTCCTGTGCTAATCAAAGGGGTGTGGAGAAGAAGTTTCGATTCCTCGTGTCCTGCACTGCCAAACAGGAAAAAAGATAAATATATATATATATATATAAATTACACAGCCAATTTCTATATTAAGGAGGAAGGCTTCATGCCATCAAAATCAGCCTTGAAATTAATCTTGCTTGTGGTATATGGAAACTGAGCCAGATAGTCCAAGTTCCCTTAAAGCGTTTTTCAAACACACCTAATCTGTTTACTCCAAGCTTTTACTGCTGGTGGTACCTGGGACTTCGCCTCTGAGATTTCCTACAGTTTGTGATCTTAGCAGGTCAAAGTTTCCAAAGGTGGGGAGAAGAGGCAATCCCTTTCCCTGCCTGTACAAAAGGTATGTGCCTCTGAGCTACTAATTTAGAACCAATGAATCAGAAATAAGTAACATAAAAACTGTCTAACACTGGTGTTTACAGAGCACCTCCTCTGAGCAGACAAAAGCGTGTGTCAACAGGGAAACTGCCATGTAGAGCTTGCATGGCAAGCGGCTCAGTGTATTTAAACAGCTTTTGCAGAGATGTTAACACGTTGCTAGGGAAGCAGGAGCCCTCATGGATAAAGGTGCCCTCCTGCTCCAAGACCCGCCATCCGCACAATGGGAAAATGGAGCTGCCCCAGCACTCACTGCATTCTGTTTTCATCTTTGCAGCTTAAAAAAAGGCAGAAAAGGCAGTTCTTCCAGGGACTGATTAATGGTCCTTCTGCAGAAACTGCATTTTGCACATATTTAGAAATCTTGAGCTAGATAACACTTTGACCTAAAATATAAAAGGTTCATTTTTTCTTTTCTGATAGTGTCTGACATTTGTACGTTTTAATACCTTATTTTTGAAAAAGGTCTTTTCTAACTTGAAGAACAAAGTGGCCAGGCTGTGGCTCTGGATGCATGTGCACCCCCTGCACGTGTGTGGCTGGTGGGTGCTCCGAGCACGTCGCTAGACCAGCTCTGGGACACACTGACACATCTCAGATCACCAGGAGAGACGCCCCTGGGCACCAAGAGGCCCAGGAAACATGCCCAGCACAACTCCCATTCCCATGGTGTGTGGTCCCTGGGGTAATCAATGTCATCCCCTGCCTGTGAACCATTCCCCAAATTTTATCTTCCCCAGAACGCTCCATGTGTGTGTGTGATATGAGACCGGGTTATATTAAGCCCACTGCTCAAAGGACCAGAGACGATGGGTCCCATGGGCACATAGCAACTACGCTACAGAGAGAGTGAAAAATTCAGGGAACAAGTGGCACTGTAATCTATCTTACCTACCCGGAATAGATCTATCCATGTACTGATCTCTATAAACACACCCTTTTCTCCATATGGGTGGGTATATATTTATATGTACCAGCCTCAAAATACCAGTAAGTTTTTATTAGCCCCCTTTGCAGATGGGGTGATGATGACAGACAAAGTGCTCTGATCCCTCTGGGCTGCTCCTCCTTGGGAGGGCAGAGTTGGGGTCTTCTCTCTCTAGGTGAGGGAAGAGAGGGAGGTGAGTTTTCCCAAAGAGCTCCTTGGTGCGGTGATCTTGCTCAGCTCTCACTTTGAATCATGCTGGCAAATAAACATGAAAGTGAAAACGGTATTGTGAGATGGTTATGCAAGAGCGGGCGGATCCCGGGACTGAACCATTGTTCCAAACGTTTAATTAACATTATGAAAGCTGATTAAAGGAAAATCTTTAACCTCCAGGGAAATCCCATTTTCCCTCACTTCCCATACCGCTGTAATTTTCACAATGTAAGAAGGAAAGTGTTATTGCAAGGCATGATTCATATCAGCTACAACCTGATCTTTGCCACAGCCATGTCCTGCAGCTTAAATAATTGCCAGCGGTGACACCAGACAGGGACACTTCTGAGACAGCATTTTTTCCCCGTTTCTCCCATGACCTGAATTGCCATCATAATTTCTAGACTTTGTGTCATCCTGGCATGATGACAAGTGTTCACCCACGCTCCAGAACTAAGAGTTAGTTCACGAGGACAGTGATACCTACCCAGACACAGCATCTCAGATATAAAGTGCGAATGACACGCCACAGTCCGGCGTGGTAACAGCAGGGACTGTTTGCTTTGGTCACTGCAGCAAACTCCTTGGAAGGCAGGAAACTGGAGCACCATCTCCAGTGACTCCCCATCTAACTTTGAGCGAACCACTTACCCTTTCTCCTCTTTTGGAAGTGGGGATAAAGGCAGTGTTACCTCTCTCTCTGCAAACAATAACGAACATAACCAGGCACTGGAGATGTTTAGGTGGAAATTGCTATTGTAAATTATGGTAGTGATTTGTTTTCAGCTGTGGTGGGTCTGTGAGGAAGCACAGACCCCTAGTACTCAGCTGTGTATGGGTGGCACATTGCCTCTCTGCTCTTCTAGGACTATTTTAATTATATGTCACGGCCAGCCCATCAGAGACCTAATCCCAGGATCTAATCTTGGAGGCAACAGACAGCTGACTGTCTGCACAATGTACTCGGAGAAGCACCCTTGGGGCTGCAGTGGGGGCGATGCACTCACCCCACACGCAGAGCAGGCACCTGCCCAGGGACAGCCCTGATCATCCACCTGGCCAGGGCACCACAAGCTCCTCTCTGACAGGGATGGCCCGTGACTGTCATCAGGGACACACCATGGCCCTGGGTCCTCCCCTCGTTAACAAGAGCCTGGGTGGAGGCTGCGTCTACAGACACCCAAATCTAATTCTTGAGAAAACACATGGCTGAAGTCCTTTCCAAGCATCAGGCTTATATAAATACATACATATATAAATACATGATAAAAATACAGCCTCTGGCAGCAGGAACAGTCTCGTACGCAGATCTTCAATAGTTATTCCCATCTGTAGATCCTGCAGGATAAAGACATTGTAGAACTTCAGGGGCCATTCTGAAAATGGAAACGATTATTTTTTTTTCCACTGTTGTCTATGTGTACCTGATGCAAAAACTATTTTAATTATGATACAACAAGATCATACTCACTGCTCTGACTATGAAGAATAGGCATCACTTTTGTGCAAATAGAGACATTAGTAAAGTAGAAGCTTTACTTACAGCATGAAATTCCTCCTTCAAAAAGCACTAGAGGTAAACCAAATTCACACAGTGAATACCAAATGTATGAAATTCTGACTCAATGAAAGGCAGACAGCTGGGTATTCTGATAAAAATGGGCCTTTATTTTTTAAATTCTTCTTTTCATTACCTGGATTCTTGTGTTTGTCAGAGCAACAAAATATAGTTTCTTTGATATGCGGCAAATCTGAAAACAATCCTGCAAACAGCACAACACAAAAACTCCCACAAAAAGGGAAAGCTATAAAATTTGAGAGGCGACGAGGCTTTCAGAAGTGCCAGTTTCCCAGTGCAATGGCTGGAAGGGTGGCCTGGCCTGGCGGCAGTTCAATCATTTTGTAACGAAGGACAAATACTTTCAACATCCTGAGAAAGAGGGCGGGGGGACGGGGGCACGGCTGCCTTGCTTTCCCTCCTCCTGCTATTCTTTCTCCTCCCTCCCCCTACCCCTTGGATTTTCAATAGCTCTTTAGTGTTTCCATCAAAGGCTTTTACCATTCATCCTCCCTTCTGGTGCCTGCCTTCCACCTGTCTATCCATCACAGCCCTAACCCAGGTCCTTTTTTTCCCCCGGCTTTGCTATTTTTCACGCGGGGGGATTTGTTTATAAGCTTCTGTATTACCTAAACTGGAGGGGAAGAGGCTATTGGGAGAAAAGTGAGAAAGCAGGATTAAGGAGGAATAATTCAGCTCCGTTGCATTTCCATCTGAACGGTCATAAAATGTGCAAATCCTGTTCCTGGGAATTTCATGTCAGAGGCCTTCTCTGCCACTGCCCTTCCCGTGCCCCTTCTCTCTTTCCCTCTCACGCAAAAACAAGTGTGGGGAAAGATGCCTAGAACTCCACGGACACCAAAAAGCCACAATGTGTGTGCTGGCGGGGTGGAGGATCCTACCAGCACGTGTGCAGGGAGACACTCCAGATGTGGCCATAAACCACAGACAAGGGGGTAGGAGGCTGCAGGGATTGAATCGGGCAGGACAACAGGAGCAAGCAGGGAAAGGCAGCTTCCAACACCCCCAGCTATAATTAATGAGCCTGGGTAAAACACAAAAATGACCTTTCAGGCTTGTTCGCTCTGTAAGAAAATCATACAGAAATGTATGATTCAGACCCCTGCAACCTAAAGAGTTTCTACTATTTCCTTTTTAGCTCATCACCATCACAAGGCACCAAAATAGACACAGGCCAGCTTTCCAGACCCCAAAGATCCACAAAAATCCACCTGTCATTAAACTGTGAGACAGAAGAAGGACCACTGCTATACACAGGTCAATGCAGATTTGTCATTGATTCAAGCAGAGGTCAGCGTGGCTGGATGTGGACTCTGTGCACACCTGCTACCTGAGCAAACACTCTCAGAACAGCAAGTAGTGCTAAAAAAGGAGATGGTCCTTAACCTGTCCCCAACCCTAGTGAGCCCACAAACCTTTTCTTGGTGGAAATCCATGTAATATCTGCTGGACCTGGCAACAGCTGGCAGTTTTTCTTCCATTTATGGACACATCCCAGACACACTGAGGATCACCCAACAGGTAGCACATGTCAAAATAAGTTCTTTTGATTGATAGTTATTTATTATTTTTAAATAAAATGAGAATAGATTGAGTGGGTTGCCCATCAGCAGCTCAGTTCTTTGTTTGGCAACTTCTTGGACAGTTTGACCATACATATGACAACACAAAATAAATTTCACTCACTTGCAGTAGCAGTTGGCTATAAATTCAGTCCATTGATGATTTACAGTTCTAGCAGCAGTGGGATATATGAAATGAGAAGCCCTTTCATCCTTAAAGTGCTCTGCAGTCTGGTGGGGATGATGAAAGCCATTGTTCCTAAGGCCAGAGGAGAGCAGTTCATTCAGTCGGTCCGGCTGTGGCTGGAGGAGATGTGCAAACTGGGTCCAAGGACGAGAGGAGGCCTAGAGAAACAGCAGCCCTTGATTTTGCAGAACAGCCAGAAAGAAATCCTTAATGATGCTATCCTTGCTTTGCAGGCTGGAGGGGAGCAGTATTTCCATCAACTAAATGATCTCAACTCTTTGGCTTCCCTGAGGGCACTACAACAGGACAGACTGTGATCGCTCACCAGAGTCGCTCTCAGATGTTTGTGTTCTTCCCACCCACCAGCAGCCTCGAACCTGAGCATGTCTTTGGCACAGCAGGTGGTATCCTTAATCCTGTGGAGGGCCAGCCCCAAGCGAAGATTAGTAGAAGAATTTGTTTTCATTAAAATCCAACCTACCATTACCATCCTCTCTGAGGGTTTGGGTTTAAAATGCGCATGTCCAGCTATTCTAGCAGCTCTGTTTCTGCAGGGAAAGGGCAGTTCAGCAACCTGCCTCTTCACTTTCTACTGTCTTTCTTTTAATCAACAAGTAAATAAGGCAGACACAGTGAGGAATATTAAATGCACCTCCTCCTGGAGAATTCTGTCAGCAAGATCAATGGAATTGGGATTTTGCCTTCATTATGTTTCTTTTGTCTGTGGAACTGGTCTGATTTTCCTCCCAATTAAATTTTTATGGAAAAAAAAAAACCAGAAACAACAAAAGAGAAAGAGACATACAAATAAACACCAATAAGTGCAAGAAAAAATATAAAACTTAGCACCACACACTCCCCTCATTATTAGACAAAGGTTGGGAAGGGTTCAGAAGTGTAAAACACTCATGTGAATTATGAGATTACTGCTCAGTTTTCTTTCAAGTCGTGGGCTGGAAACAGATGGTGGCTGTAGCATTTATGACGGCACAACATGTTACTGCAAGCCTAGCCATCTCTCTCTCTCTCCTCTCAAAAATGCAGCTGCAAGGAAAGTTGTGGAAAATCACATTAATAGTCCCTTCCACCACACAGTTTTCCAGCCCTTCATCCCTGGCCAGCACATGGACAGAGCCATCTTGTATCCTAGCAAGAATACTCTTCTAATCCCTGTCCTGAATAGTTACCACTGACTGGCTTATTTAACAGCTAGTTAAAATGTGAGGTTTGTCAGCATCGTAAAAAAGCCTCCAGAAAGCAGGTCCTTAAGGTCAGAGCAGATGCCATGTGACCCCAAGCGCTCCCCATGGGAAAGGCTCAGAAAGAAGTGATCAGACTGTCCTTCAGCTGTTTATTATTTAAACATTCAGTTCAGGCCAAGCAAGTTGATTTATAGAAAAGTAGAAAGACAGATACAACACTTGCAAAAGCATCTTTGAGACTCAGGAGTCCAAATCTCACTTTCAAGCAAAAGTAGAAATTTTCACAAGGGCAAAAGCCTCTGGATTTTCAGCAAGACACCTTCCAGTGACCACAGGTTTAGAAGTATCTGGGCCCCTGAAGATACAAAGAGCAACTAATCCCATATTTAAATATCTTGCCTGTACACAGGGAAAAAATGTTCAAGCTTCACTGCCCATGTGCTTCAGTCCTGATAGAAATGCTTTGCCACCTAAAATATGTTCATACATAAAGCAAAGCTATCCTCACAATCTGAGTGAAATACAGGAGCTGGCAGGTGGACATATCCCCCTTGGTGGAGAACACAAGGTAACCAGCATGTGTGCAATAACTGCATGTGACAGAGGTGCACCCAGCTCCAGGTGCTGCCGGCTTGGGGACAGCACGTCTGGACTTGAAACCATGAGCTGAGCCTGGGGCACAACCCCTCAGCTCTTGAGGCACCATCGAGGGGCCTCCTTACACCAGGGAACTCTTCAGACAGTAGAAAACTGTTACCTGTTATCCTTAGGACTTCTGTGTGCTTTACAAATGTGAAACATTCCTGTACCACAGCACCTCTGACAGCATTAACTCACTAACAGTAAATCCAGTAGTTTGGGATTCCAAAATCAGGATTTTAGAATTACTTGCTCATTTCAGTTAATTAAGACTCTGCCAAATAATAATTTCCCAGACAAGTGTCACTGGAAAAATCTGAGTATCCATTTTGCTGTTTCCATTTTGCTGGCCTCACTACCTGATTGGGAACATCAGCATCAACTTTACATGTTCATCCTCAGTCATCCAAATTTGTGTTCCTGCCACCCTGCTCACAGCCAGCTGTACACAGGGCAGCACTTCTGCTCTCTGGGGTGTAGAACAGAGCAACTGAAAACAAGATAGACTTTTACCATTCCCTTTATCACTTTTAACAGCTAGACCAGGAAGTTGCTGTAGAAATTCAATAGTGTACACACTTGAAATTCTAAATAGCCTTTTCCCAGAGATAGACTCTATCCAGGTGATATGACCATACATATCCACTGCATATCTGTCATAATTGCAAAAGCCCTCAGACCTTTCCTCTAAAGATAGAGAAGGTGCCATTTTATTTTTCTTTTGGAAACCTCATTCTGCAGAATTCATTAGTATCCTATGTAACAATGTACTTCCTGTAAGTAATGAGCTATAAAGTGTATTAGAAGTTTCCACTTCTGGTTTTATCTTTTCCTGATCTAGCCTGAAAATTCTTTTGAAGTTCCTCAAAGTGTTCTTCATGTATGCTTGTTTTAGGAAATACCAGATCACTATGGGCAAACTTCTCCTTAATTAAGTGAGATAAAGGAATCAAGATGATATGATCTACCTAATTTCCCACCTTTTTACAGTACCATTTTAAGATAGTTTTCTCACTTAAAAAAGAAACATGCTAAAGAAAATAAGGAAGGAAAATACCTTAAGAGGCCCAGAGAGGGCAAGCATTGCTATGGGCTCTCTAGTGTAGCTGAGCTTGCTGGTAGAAAGCCACTGAATAGTTCAAGTTTTTCCTTGTTACTATGGAATGGTTTTCTGAAAGGTTTCAAACCCTCCTGAAACAGCATCACTCTGGTCAATGCACAGGAGGAAAACACTAAACTGCACTGTGTTAGCACAGTGGGCTCGTTAGGGGCTCAGCTTAGGAAGCCAGCTCAGATCATGCCTAACTTTAAGCACAAGTAATTTCAAAGAAACATCTCATGTCTCAACTTCAGCCTTCCACTGTCTCTCTTGATGAATCACAACTTAGGGTATGCAGGGAGCTAATGGGAAACATTTGCACTTGCTAACCCCAGCTGCAAGGTCCCAAAACCCCTATTAGCCACAGAGGCATAGGCTGACCATTTTGGATGGGCCAGAAGGCTCTTCACAGCAAATGGATACAAGCTGTTAGGCAAGCTCTTCTGAAGCACATCTATGAGAAACATCTCCCAGAAAAAACAGTTCAAATTTATTTAAAAGGGGTATTTGGGGCAATCAGTACAGTACACAAGCTGACTCCTACATGGCCTGTTGAAGAAACCACTCTATTTGGGACAAATTGCTTCTCTCATTTTTGCTGTGGAAACCCATTGCAGTCAAGAGGAATTCAGACCTTGAACAAGTTTTTGAGTAGCTTCCTGACTCCAAGGAGACCTCTGAGCAGATTATTTTACTGTGGGTGAGTCTGGACCAAGAAATGCCTTCACTTCCAAGAGTGTGAGCATAGAGCCCTCAGCCCACTTCCTCCAAGTGCTGGACCATCTCTCCCTCCTTCTCTGGCCCCACACAGCTGGGCAAGAGACTCAGTAGTAGCAGAACAGGGCCCACAGCACAAAATCTGACCACTTGAAACTTCCCTGGTCTTCAGGTTAAACCAGCACCACCTTTGTACAGAAAACACATGTAAAGCCCAAGTGCTAAGGAAAAGGTGACGCGTGGCTGGAGTGGGGGGAACTTCCCACCTGAACTGTCAGGCTGCTCCAGCAGTGAATGGGGCACTTGAAAAGTCACTGCTGGGAAACACACCAAACAAAAAAACAAACCTAAGGTTTGAGTGCTGCTACCCAGAGATGCAAGGCATGGTCACATCATTGGGTCGAAATCAGTCTCTTTTCAGAACAGAGACATTCTGAAGGCAACAAAGGTTTCTTGAAAGTCGCATAAAAAATGAATTAAAACTGGATGCCAAATCCCTTAAACTGCTGAAAAAAATCACAGCTAGGGATGCCCAGTAAGTCTGGAAGGGCTCTTCATACTTCACTGAGGTCTAAAAATTTGAGTTCATCCCCAAAGGGAGCTGAAGCCACTCAGCACTTCACCCACAGGCCCTCTGTGAACAGTCTTTTTTCTTGTGGTCAAACGGGGGCTATCTTGAATTTATGTCTTACTTTTCCCCTTGTGAGCAAATAAAACAATTTCTATGAGTAATTCTACCCACTAATTGCCAAGGAAAAGTCTGGTTAGAAATGCTCTGCATTTTTGACAGGTCAGAGGCTTCCCTAAACAAAGTTGCTGGTTTATGTTTTCTAACAGCACATGTTCACATCCGGGGACTTCGGTGAATTCCAGTGCGGATGAGTCTCTGTGGGAAATTGCTTTTCCCTATTTTCTTGTTTTAACTGCTCCAGGAAATGAGTCTATTTTTACAACACTAAACAGCAAAATATGAAACCATTATCTGCTTTGTGGCAGGAGTTTCGGGTCAATTCTCAGGTAACTGTCACCTCCAGTGAAGTCAACGGAGTTGTATCTATTTATGCAAGTTAGTGATCTGACCAATTATGTAATGGGTTGATCAGTTACTAGAACACAGAGCTACCACGAGCCTAAGGAGTGTCTCATTTTCATGCGTCTCAAAGTTCATCCAAGCCCTGAAGTATTGATGATAAGTGAAGTATTCCAGTATTATGGTCTGTAAAGATGATAATTAACTGCTGAGAGACTTAAGCATGAGCATTCTCCATGAGTATCTACTTTGTCACTGAATGATCATTATAAGTAGTCTCTTTTTTGGATTCTTTTTTCACCTGCCAAATAATCCAGGGTGGGATTTTCAGCAGTGTTTAAAATGCTTTTCTTCTATTTATTTGTGATTGTTTTCCAGAATCAGGAAGTTTTTCAAAATCCCCAGGGGATTTCAAGCACTACGAGCTCAGCTGCATCACTGGGTGCTTCTGCTTTTTGGCACCCCTGATCTTATCAGTTACCCTCAGTTTCAAAGATGGACAGTAAAACCACTTGCCTTCATTATGCAAGATCAAAGATAGTACACAGAGGCCAAAACACCAAGTCTGATCTGCAGATGAGTATGTAACACTTCTTATAAAACCTGGCTCCTTATTTCCTGGTTTGAGGGACCACTCCAGCCTTCATATGTGAATTTCTTTTCTTTTGAAGCACACAAGTGAGCCTTTCTTCGTGTATTTTTATCTAAGTTCCTGGAAGACAACCAGTGTATACACGTATCAGTCCAAATGGAAATTCTGAGTTACTCAAAACTCAGTTTTGAGTTACCCAAGTCAGATTTGATGGCCTACTAATGAGTCAAATATAATAGTGATTGCATTCCCCTCTAAAGAAAGAAGACAACACAGGAAAAATGTGACACTGAAACTTTTAGTGACAGAAATTCTACCACCAAGAAGTTGCCAGAATTTCACCCATTGATTGTGAACAAGACCAAGAGTTGGCACTTCCTTACTTTCAGGTTGGGAAATTAGGTATTCGTGACTTTACACCTATTTGGAAAGCTCACCAAACGTCACTCGAGACTAACATACAGAAAACAAACTTAGAGACAATATCTAAGGAAAACAGAACCTAACCTATGACTTGTTCTTTGATTTACAACTGTGATTGCAGGCCCCACCTCACGGTCATATGCCACGATAATAGGCAGCAGTTCAACGAGAACCAGCCATAACTTTTTACATGTCGTAGTGATTCTGAGCTACTTCAGCACATACTTTAGCCTGATGCAGCAAATATTTAGAATGACTAAAGGGACAGGTGACATGCCACAACTGCAAAAAGAATGATCGAGCTTTTGATCTTGTTTGTTCTACCTTGTCATTAATTTTTTCCCCTAAACTAAAAGTTGCCAAATTTCACATGAAATTTGCTCTCATTAATTTTTTCCCATCTCAGATTTGCCTGTTATCAGTACAACTGTGAGTTTTCAAATTATATTCTCTGAGGTACCCAAACAGATAATCTTAAATGGGCTCACTGGTATTAGTGACTCCACTCCTGAATCCACCCATGCCAATAAATTATTTTCCCCCAAAAGAACAAATACGTAGTTCAAAATGGCAGCCTCCATGGGAGCAAAAGAGAGTGGAACTCTCCCAGCTGTCTTCCTAGTTGCATGTACTAGTCTGGATACTTCATCTTTAAGGTTGTTTAAAACATACTTCAACCCTCTACGAGCATGAAGACCCCCATCCCACAACTGGGATCCTGTGTCAGGAAGGCACACCCTACTTTAAAAAAATAAGAAAGCATCAACTCTGATCCATTTGCTTGAGGTCAATGGGATGTTTGTCCAAAGCTAGGAGCATGCTTAGTTTGAAGAGCAAACAGAGGCATCTCCTAAAGTGCTTTTCCACGTTAGGGTCTGGGAAAAAAAATTTAAGATTGGGCCCATGACAAAAACAGTTCCCTTAGGAAATGTTACCCACACCATAAAAGGAAGGAATTAAAATTGTCTACTGAATTTTTGTAAATTCCCATAAAATCTGAGTCTTGTTCTATGTGCATAATTTTCATTCTAAGTCACAAAAGGCTGACTCCTTTGAGAACAAGGAAATGACCAGCCCATGATAGGATAAAAGGCTGCTAATTGCATGGGCAGAAAGATGGATTTTCATCAGTCACTACGTTCTCTGATGATACAGCAGTGGCTTTTGATCATGTATCCAATGCACAGTAATTAGGTAAAATGACTTACCCTCAATCTTTTCAGTATTTAGCTCTAAGGGTGCAAGGATTCATTCTTGGAAAGGGAAGATGGTCGTGTGATTTAGGGCACTGGATGAGCACTCAGATCTGAGTCCTATCCCTGGTTCTGCCACAGCCTTGCTGTATGACCTTGCACAGTCTTTTCTCCATGCCTCGGTCTCGCCTAAAATGGGACAACAATAGTTCTTTATTTCAGAGATACGAATACAAACCAGTTCAAGGCTGTGCCGCAGAGATGCTACAGCAAAGAGCAGCATAGAAAAGCTCAGACATGGAATAATGCCTTGCTATTAAAATGTGGGAACACAGACAGTAATTAAACTGAATAATAAATACAAAACATAGGCTGATTTTTGAGGAATGCAGCACTGATAGGTTTTTCTCTGTTATTTGAAATTAAAGGAAATTTAAGTGGGATTCTTATGAGTTCACCTGAGATCTGCTAGTACCAGAAGCTGTGTATTAGAAACGCCAAGAAAATGACTTCATTGAAAACCTCACATGGTGTCTGTTTTAAAACAACCGTGATTTCCAGCCCAAGACAGGGTCAGATAACCATTCTCAGTAAGATTTTCAAAGCTATGGAAGGGGCCTACAAACATGATTTCTTTCAATTTACAGTAAAATGTGAGCATGCAAATCTGAGGTAGCTTTGAAACGTCAAAATAAAATTTGAAACTTTCAAATTAAATCATAAATGAGGCCACTGATCTTAATTAAACTGTCAGATCTCTGGAATAGCTTCACTGCCATTCTTTCAGAGTCACAATGTTGCTGGGATTGGACAGAGCTTTAGCAAAGAGTCTTCAGTAATGGGTATTTTTCCAAATGCAAAGCTGAATCTTTTTCTCTCCACAAACACACATCTATACAACAACATTTGTTTTTCATGTGTGTGGGGCTGGGTCAGTTATGGGCCTGTAGGTTTGGGGTGCAGGATCTCGGGGCACACAGATAAAGCAGCTGAACAAGAGACAAACAGATCAAAGGCTGTTCTGTGAGGCAGGAGATAAGAGAGACACATCTTAGGAAGGCAAAATAATTTCTGAGAGACAGAAACAGAGGGATGGGAAAGTCAGACAGAGAATATCTGGAAAAGAGACCACAGAAAGACAACATGGACCTGAGAAGGACAGGCAAGAGAACCTCACAGCTGGAATGCTGAAGCCCATTGGAGGGAGGAAACCCACAGATGCTGTTCCAAGCAGATTAAAAAGCCTAAGCCCAAAGACAAAGTGGTGGAGCTGCCTAGGAATCTCCAGGGCTGGAGAGGAGCAACTGCCTGTAGTTACTGTGCACTGCCCAATAAAGCAGATGCCAAGGAAGGTAGAGGAGAGGAAAAAAGGAAAGCAAACTGGCATGTGATCCTTGATTTCACTCAACAAAAGCAACTGAAAGGTCTGGAAAGATGAAGCACAGAATTAAACATAATGAATTGACTGGAGAATCAGTGATCATGCACCATATTTTGACAACTGAGGTTGGTTTGGGGCAGTCCTCTCTCTATGTATTTTCTGTTCAGACAAGACCTCAAAAAAACAATATAATCAGATCAACAAGTTCTGAATCCCTGGAAAGAGGAAGTGGCTGCAGAATGTGAAACAGAAAAACATTTTATCCCCAGAACACTACCTACAGTGTGGAAGGACAAAACCAACAAGGTGTTACAGTATTGCATGGAAGCACAACTTATGACAACTATCATCCTCAGCTCCATTAAGCCCCCTACTAGCCCCCCACCCCACAAATAACAGAGCTGTCAGTCAGACACCTTGTGGCTCACACCCTTCCCTGTAACACTCCAAATGCAGCACATTACAAGTCCAGAGGGAGTCCACCTCCAGTAGACAGCAGAAGAAGATAGGACACGGCATTCACAAATGCACAGAGAACTGTTTAATTTACAGCCACAATGGTGAAACAAACCATTTCAGAGCTTGGACATTCAAAGTTAAGTCTGACACTCATTCTTATATTCACTTATTGTGCTTAAGGATTAGAGAACACAGGATTACACTGACCGTACACGACAACCCTGCGGGACCGAGGAGTGGAAGGGATGAGCAAGAATGAGGGACCAGCCCCTCAAGTGGTGTAAGCTGGTACAGCTCCATTGCAGGCAATGGAGTGATGGTGATTTACACCAGCTGAGGACATGGCCCTTGAAATGTCCAACTTAACTTTGAATTAATGTCTCCCGTGTCACCACCTTTAACGTCACTCTTCCTTCTGGTTGTATCTGCCACTCTGAAGGACTAACCCCACAGCCTGCAACGCTGGATAGGGTGGTGGGTAAGATCTCAGCTGGACTATAGGAAGTGATGCTCATGTCATGACACTACTCCTCGTAATTTAAAAAGCATGGACTGGATCCTCATCTGATGTAAATTAGCTTGGGGGCAGCTGAAGTCAGAAAGGTTTTGCCAATTTATAGTAGCTGAGAATGTAGCCCTGAGAATTCTGTGTTTTCTGCCGCATGCCACATGAACACTGTGCTTGAGAACAAAGACTCGTGTGCGTTTCATTCCCCGTAACAAAATTAACTCGAGACCACAAGTCTCAAACAAATGACTACTGGAAAGGACTCCATTCAGTCTTCATTCTCCCCTGGTTTGCTGAATTTGGCATAACACGTTTATTTGCTGGCACCAACAAAACACGTGCCCCTCGGTTGGTTTTGTTTTCAAGACTTTACTCTAAGGCCAGACTCCCTCGTGATGTAAATCAGCAGAGCTGCAGGATGCTCCATGGAGTCATTCCAGGGGAGCTGGCCCACAGATCCCAACACAACCTTCTTATGCCAGTGCAGGACTCTCAAAGAGTTGTTTTTCAAATTATTCCACTTAAGTGACTTTGACATCCTTTCATCACCTGCACAGTGTCTGAGTGGGTCACATAATGCTTTTCATTTACATGATTTTAATGGATATATGTTTGGTTTTTTTTTTTCATTAGATATCTTTTAGACAAAAAAAGGAACGGAGCAACATTACTGGCATCCCACTGAAACATAAATATATAAATTACATTTTATACACTTTTTTAAACGCAGACACATACATTCATGTGCATAACATCGTGAACAGTACACTTAGTGGAAAACAAGCACAGACAATCTTAGTTAAATGTATTTCCAGTTTTGGTGCTCAACAAATACACTGGGAAAATGATCACAAAATAGAACGGTGACTAACTCTATCTCTGCATTAGCATCTGAAGCCAATAATGCCTGTTAGCTAACATTGCTTTGTTTGGTTGAAATTTGACATAGCTACAGGAACAGGAGGGGAATGTTTGAACTATATTTAGAGAAGTGGAAAGGTTAAAAATCTTGCTCTCTTTTGTTGTTTTAAGGTTCTGCAGTTCATTCACATTTGAAGATATTTTTGAGTGGAAAAACTGTCTTCAAGACAAACTTTTTTGTTGTTCCAAACTAAGAAAACTCTTTCATCTCTTTGTAGATGTTTCACAATAAAAGAATCCAGTAGTTCATTTTACATATCCAGTGTGATAATCCAAATAAAACAAAGGGTACATAATCCAAACTACTGGGGTGGGGCAGTGATTTTGGCCAAGTGAGTAGCCATGTCATATCTGGCACAGCCCTAAATTTCCAAAGCAATACAGAAGGATTTAGCCATGTGGCTCCCACCGCAATCCGAGGGGAACTGAACATTTAATCCTTTGGCACTTTGAAAAAACAGGAGCTGCTGCCAGAGTATTTTATCTGCCCTGCTATAATTAAAATAGATTTTGATGTTATTTGGGCTATTCTACTACAAAAATATGACCACAAAATGCTTTTTTTTTTCTTTTTTCTTTTTTTTTTTTTTTTTTTTTGGTTCAAGAAAACATAGCAGGCTTTCTCAGGTATATAAAACTGTTAATTTTTAGATAAAAATACAAACTTCACCTTTACAAAAACACATATTTCTGTTGAATACACATAAAGCATAACATTTTACCAAAAATAAAGAATTTTAGGTTTTGTTCAAATATTTGCAGCAAGGTAGTTCCCATGCCACCATGACATTATACAATGCAGATACAAGAATTTGTACATTTCACACAGCTCCAACATGTGAAATAAAAGTATCTGTATACTGATAAGAATGACAATTGCTAACACAATATCACTAGTAGGCAACTGGCATAAGTCTTAAAGGAAAAAAAAAAAAAGAAGATTTTTGCATGGATAGCCTATGATTTGTTTACGCACATCTCTCTTTTTTTTTTCTCTTTTTTTTTTTTTTTTTATTTTATGTAATGCTTTAAATTACGGGGGAGGTTGGGGAACATAAACCAAGAAACGTCTAGAAAATTATGCATAGGTATACCATTTTTATTTTAATACATCTCATTAGTTTGCATCCCACTAGGAGAAATACCATAATGTTTTGTGTTCTGCTTATTGTTATACCAGTCTTTTTATATGTGTTATTGGCAAATGTAGTCCGAGAGATAATAAAAAGCTAGGCAAAGAGTAAAAAGAAAACTTAATAATCACTTTATGGTGTAAAAAAAAAAATCCACTTAAGGCTCCCCAGAAGGTTTTTTTGTATAGACTTTTAAAACACCACCAAGCAAGGATGTATTGTTCTATAGTGTTTGCGTGGCATTTGATCATTTCGTACATTCCTGCTTTTTTTGTGCCTGAAGTCCACCAGTGTCCATCCATCTTCATCAAGAACGCAGGCACATTTCTTGACGTAAAGCACCGTTGACTGCTCTGACAGAAATCCACTATTCACTTAGATTTTTGTCATGTTTTTGAGTACTTTTGGTATCCTCCGTTCATTCAACTGTCTTTTTTCTTTTCTGTTTTTCTTTCGTTCGTTTTTTTTTTTCTTTTTTGGACAGGGAAGCTTCCTATTGTTTCACAGAGTGCTACAATACTTGCTTTGATGTCACATTAAACAAATGTACATTGTCTCTTTGTTCTCATTAAGTGTTCTTTTGAGCCAGTTTTTTCACACAGGAGAACAAATAAAGTATACAGTCAATAAGCACCATACATAGTAGGTTCAGGAATGTAACAAACCATGTACATCCATGTCCCAGAGAGAAGTTTTTTTTCTAGCTTATTTTCACCTTACATCTGTAGGAGAGAAAAAAGATACAATAACTCTATGATTAGAATCAAAGGTCCTGTCCTCAAAGTAGATGACTTAAAAAAAAACTGCGCTGCATGAAGAGTCACTAACCTGGGACAAGAAGTTCTAAATGCTGTTCTGATTGAGTTTACATGCTCACTTTTAAAGTTGAATTTTAGAAAATCTTTGCTTCTATCATACTACTCCCAATAAATACCTGTTAATCTGAAACAGGATATCAAGTTTAGCATTCTTCAGAAACGGTACATGAGTATAAATGAAAACTGCCATTGGGAGTTTATGTGCAAAAACAGGGGCTTGAAATTAAATTCACCATCATCCAGGCGTTAGGCACATACACTGCAAAATCCAAATCATTCCCACTCCAAATACTATAATCAGTTGCAAGTGCTGCAGTTTACATACTTTCAAGTCATTTAGAAATGGAAATTCCATATTTAATTTGGAATGTGTATCGCCATCATCATACACTGCTAATATGTTGGCCAAAGGATTTCAGTCAGTTTTGCACTGAGAGGGTGTTAGTTTTTCACTACACTGAAAACCTCATGAATTTTGATGACTGACTGTCATCATCCTACTGAGACTGAACAGACCAAAAAAGAAAAAAAAGATCTTAATTTTCTGGTGTAAATAACACAGGGCCCTGCAACACAAAAAGTGGTATTTCTAAGCATCTTCCTTGCCAGGTAGGCAGATTATCAGATGCATGAACAATCAATCCCAGTTCATGTCAGAACATGGGTTTGATGGCCACACATATAATAGTATTTGCTGTATGTACACTCAATGTTTTACAGTCAAGGACTGGGAACACAACAATTTGTAATCTGGTAATTCATTCATGCATTATTATGTGATGCTTTGACCTCAGAAATCAATAATAATGAAACACAAGCAGAGGCAATGGAACTTGAGATTTCAGAAGCTGAAGTATTAGCACCCTCCAATAAAAAAGAAATGAAAAGGCAAGAAAAGGAAGTAGCTAAAGAATGTAAGATGCTGATGGTGATGTGGAGCTTAAAGGGAAAATACCAGCAGGTAGAATTATCAAAGCCAATCAAATCTAATCTCTTCGCAGCCTTGAGGTAGAGCAAGTGTCAAGATTTTGAACAGTGATTAAGTTGAAGTGATGGCATTTGATTAAGTTTTCCAGTACTTGTGCTATTAGGGTGTTCAGCATATAGGTCCTACCTGAATATCAAATAGTTCCAGTAGGTTTTATGTTGGTTTTAACTTTTTTCGTTTCCGTTTTTTACCTGATTCCCTAGGCCTTCCTGTTAACATAAGGGCAGGGCTGGTAAAAAGCCCCAAGGTAACGCATTTCGTTGAACACTGAAGTAATAAATACTCAAACCGTTTACATTTCAAAGAAATCTCATTATCCTTTGCATTAAAGTAATAACTTCATAACGTCTGATTTGACATTCGGTTTACAAAGTAATTATACAAAAGTAAAGAAATAATAAACGAAGTTGGCATTGCATACGTCATTTCCAAGATCCAGCTATAATTACTGTTACCATGCAGTACTCAACATTTGCTTTCAGCTCTGGAGTTAAGCTATTTTCAGCTCACCATCCACTTGCTGGTGCAAGTTTTGTTCCTATCAGTAATTAAATCCTAGAAATCTATATTTTTCCACAACGATTCTACCCCATTTTTTACACGTATCAGAAAGAAAAATTTTCATCTTAAAATCCTAACTGCTTTAGTCTTTGGCAGTTAAAGACAATTTGGAAAAGCGAAACTGATCAAATGAAACTTTTTTTTTTTTCCAAATAGAAGACACAGAAAATGTATCAAACCATACAGACATCAAAAAGAACCACTTTAGATGTGGTTTTATCTACTCGTAACTCCACATAGTTTCAGCTAAACACTCAGCTCAGATTATAAATTGATGTCCAATAAAATCACAGCAGAGGTCTAGCTTTGCTTTTATACAAATTCTAATTCTTCTGCTCTGTTCATAGCAACTGAAGTTTACATTTGCTTGGACCAGGTTTATGTCTCCATGCTGGAGGGAGACAGTACAGAAAGCCCTTCCTTAACCAGCCACCTACAAAATCCACCTTTGGGCAGCTTTCCTCCTATATTTACCTGCTCCTCACTGACTTAATTTTGGGCTGGATCTACTGCACCCTTAAATTTCCTGCAGAGGTGCAAAACAGACTTTTGAGTTGGCCTTCAACCAGTACCAGAAGAAAGGGAGATGTCCTTTCTGCTGTAGTGGGGTTCCTTAATACATGTGTCAAGCTCTGCATTGATTGCACCCTAGTAAAAAGATCTAAGATTTTAGATAATGATTTTAGATCAATTTAGAATGATTTTATGAAAGCCAGATTGAAAAAGCATTTTCCCCATTAATTTTTCCCCATTGTAACTTAAATGTTGTCTTGATGAGGCAAATTTAGGTTTAATGTGAAAACTGACAAATTCTTGACCACACATACATAAGAAAACAACAGGAATGGGCAATGTTGTTACAAAACTAACTCCTTACCCTTGAACACTGAATTTATTCTGAAGTGTTTTACATTAATTTCATTAATATTTTCCCCAAGGTCAAGTAAATCTCAGACTTAGCCCTGTCTCCACAAAGTCTAAAGAAATTAGGCAACAGAGCTCACCAATAAGCTGCAACATGACAACCTTTAACTTAGTGAAGCAAGACCTGAACACTACTGGGTATTTACATTTATTTAAAGTCTAACCTAAAGAGAACTGATACACTTTAAACTTGAAATCTAAACTCCTTATATAGCACAAACTGTGCCTAATTTTGCATCCTCAACACACAGAGAATGTGGGAGCTTCTCTACTGAGTTCACTGGAAGCAACATTTGCTTTGCATTCTTTACTAATAAAAATATAAGGTCCATATGAAATCAGCATTAATGCAAAAATAAAAGGAAAACATACCAGTTTCTTCTTCTCTATAATCTGAATTAGTATTTGATGATGTACAGGTGCATTCCATATGCTCTTCTAATCTCACCAGAACTTCTTTTAATTTTGGCTTTTTTCTAACATATTCCACTTTTGCCACCTATAAAATACGATGAGGTACGTACTGAGACACATTAACATGGTTATAGTTCAGAACTGAAGACAGATAACTATATACCTCTGTTTTTAATGTAGCCAAACCCATACAAAACGTTAGCATACTAATCATCCTTTATCTTAATTGTGCATCGTGTAGCTATTTATTGCACAGACTATTTGTTTACTCAAGTTCAGCAGTTTGAAACCATTTGCTTCTCCCCCAAGAGATAAAACAATTTCCCATTCATTTTGGTTTGAAGTTTTAAGCAACTCAGTTTCGCACATATCACAATAAACTTCCACATGGATTCAGATCAGGGGTTGTTCTTGTGAACTGCCACTTTTAGCACAATCTTCTGTACATGTTGTTAAAGGCTGACAGTGAAGGCATTAGACTGGTTTGTAATTCATTTTATTATTTACAAATTGGTGTCTCCGAGCCTTCTGAATGTGAAGTGCTCAACTCTACATCACCAGGACCTGAGCATCACCTCAGAAAGCAGCAATCCCATTCCTTCTCACTTCCTGCAACAACCTAGGACTTGTTTACAGGAGCTCCCATGAATAGATTTTAGGTCTAAGGGAACTACCACTTGCAAACTGGATACAGCCTTTGGCCTTCCTGTGGATTGCTGGCAGGCACTCTATTCCTCTCCAAGTCCTTCCAGCTGCTTCCAAGTGCACTGCTCCATTTATGGGATCCTTACAACAAAAAAGCCTGGAGGGCAAGGTGAGGTTGGAGGAAGGGGTGTGCTGCTGGAGCAGCTCTGGCTACACGCAGGTCTCTCATCTGAAGGGAGCCAATGCAGAACAGAAGGACACTGGTTGGGGAGATGCCAAACATGAGGACATCCTGACCAACAGGTTGGAAGCCAGAAGAGGAGGAATGGCACAGAGGGGAGGAACATTCATGTTCTAGAGTGTTGAAATGGCTTGTGGGATGCTGGGCGCTGACTTGTGCTAAGTGTAATGGGTGTGCTGATCATGGTTGTGCAAGAGAACATGGCATTATGTGGGCAAAGAGAGTCCTAGAGAGTTTGTCAGGGGTCCAATGTGTAGTTTTGTGTTGAACACTGCAGATTAAGTGATAATTGCTTGAAATGGAAACACTGAAACAAAATCATGGCTTCTCAGTCCTATTCATTCTTTGACAAAAGGGCACTGCAATGTGGCTGTCCCAGCAAACAAGATGACTACATATCACATGGATGCATAAATAAGAGAGATGAGAGAGAAGGACAGGAGAGGCTGGTTGTCTCTCCAAAAGTTACATGACAAAGCCATAAAGGCTGGTCCAGCCAAAAGCTCCTGCTGCTACCAAATAAAGCATCCACAATTAACCCAGACTCTCCCAGTCATGGTTTACTTGTGTGTTTGACGGGGATTTAATGCTCCAAATCAACCTTCACACTATGAAAATCATTCCCTTGCCCTTCCAAAATTGGAACAGTGTCACAAAATGGGAGCGGTGGCTGGAAAAACCCATCACATTCCCAGCTTCCAGAAACACTCTTCTTGCTCTCTGGACAAAACTATCAAGGACCTCTGAATGACAGTGACAGAAGCTAGAGCAAAATCCTGGCCTTCTTAAAGCCAGTGGGAGATCTGCCTTCTCCTTCATGGAACAAGGAATTCAGATCCACGTTCTAGTCACTGCCCCTTGTGTCAACAGGATCTGGAGATGATTTTCATTTACCCAGCAAACAAAAGTTACAGAGACAGATGCAATAAAAAAGTATCCACATTAAAAGGTACATTCCAAAACTGTCAGATCTCCATATAAACAGATCAGGAGCTAGCCATGACATACAACACTTCAGGTGAAAGACTAGCTATGGGTTGAAGCAGTATGTTTCAAAATCTCCTGTCAGAACCCAACTGCATCCAGCCTTTGAACACAAAGATTTGAAAATGTATGGTACAACTGAGTCATGCGGCATCAAAGGATGACTAATCCTTAAAATTTATGAAAACAAACAGTAATTAAGACACCTCCATCATCAGAGACAAAGAAGGAGACCCAGCAATCATGAAACAGCTTTCAGATCTGCCATGCTTATTACAGCTGTTAGAATAAACCAGTCTCATTGAAAATTACACGCAACAAAAATAAACTGTAATCAAGCTTTTAAAAGTCTGCCCTTGTTTCGCTTGGTTTTCCAAACTGAAAGATACATGGAGTTCCTGTGGCTATTTGGTATTAAACAACACTTAAAAATAAAAGATAATACTTTGAAGAGGATCATAATTAATTTATGCAGCAATTTAAAGCTGTTTTTTACCACTGCAGTTAAAATACAATCCAGCACACGTTCCACTGCCCTCCTTTATGCTACACAAGTTAAAGCAATGTCATTTTGTAAGACGTTGCAAATATTCAAACTGAAGCAGCACAAACCAAACAAGCTGCAGTGTTTGTGTCACCTGTTAACACACACAGTGCTGCTGCCACACACAGCACTGATCTACAATGATGAAGGCTGCAGGTCAGATTTTCAGTGGGTATAAACAGGGATAGCTGTGAACAGCATGAGAGCTGGCCTTGTGTACAGATCCTTTTTCTTCTTTGTATTTTTCTCCCCAGTGTTTATCTTGTACAGTTAGTCTCAAGTGTATTACCCAATGCCTTGAGGTGGTCAGTCCTCCACAAAATCAACAAGCTTCTTTGACTTGTCTCTAATGCAACAAAAATAAAAATCCTCAGATCCTCCAGACTCACAAATGTCACTATGTAAAAACTTCTCAAGAGAAAGGCAGTGAAATGACTGACTAATTTAAATGGTGTATAATCAGTGGCACCATCCTTGCATCAGTGTAGACTCTAGGTCTACATCCTGCAATACATCATGGTGGCTAAGTAAAAATGAAAATAAAATCTGATAAAAATACACGGCCCAATGGAAACATGATGGGAACACAATTTTTAAAGCTGCTCTGGGAGAGCTGAAACCAGGGACTAACAGCAGCAAAAAAACTAGACTGCAAGCAGAAATGCCCAAAACACCTCTAGCACAAAGCCAAACCTTATTGTGGGCAGGAACTTGCAAGGCACAGAACGTTCCTCATAACCGCAGAACTCATGTGGTTGACAGCTAAATACTGGTTGAGAAATAAACCCTAAAAGCATCTGAGTGAGGATACCTTTTGGAATATATTGCCTCCGTATTGTGCACGCTGATATGATGGAGGGAAAACCTGTCTACAAGGAAGACATAAGTCAACAGGGAATAAAGTACTGGGGAGGCATCAGGGCTGCTGTGGGGCCTGGCAAGTCACTACTCCTGGGACAGGAGGGCAGGAATGGAATGGTGCCTTCCAGGGCACACTGTGCCAGCTGTGCCTGCCCAGCGCCTCAGAGTCTGGCACCCACCCATCCTAAAAACACATTTACAGGTCACTACTCTGCCAAAATCCTTGCCTCAGAAAAGCCTCAAGGTCCAGGGGCAGCTGAAGCAAACTCGTCACCCCCTTGCCAGAGGGAATGGCTGATGTGGGGTCCCTGTGTGCCGTGTCTCTGAGCAGAGCAGCCAGACCCTGCCCTCTGCCAGGGCTCCTCACACTCTGAGGGCTCATCACTGCCTTTCCCGCCTTCACCTGTATCAGGGTTTCCTTTGTTTCTCCCATTCCTAAACTGACCTTTGATACCAAGTCCTGCCTGCAGGTCCCACCAAGTGCTGGCTGTAATCGCCAGTTAAGCCACAGCTAAATCAAACTGCTGTTTATCCCACTGACAGAAAGTCACTGAAGAAAAATGTTCTTAAACCTGCAAACATGACATACACCCATTTTACCTACATGTCCCATTTGTTCTGCAAGGCCTTTTTAACCTCCTCAGAGGCTGGGCAACTCTGCTGAACAACTCACTCTGAATTCCTGCATTTTTTTCCATCTCTCTTCAAACCTCTGAACAACTCCCCAGTGACAGCTGAGGAGCTGCTCCTGCATTCCCTCCCTTCCAGGTCCTTTCTCTGCATCTTTCTCTCCTATTACTGCACTGTAAGAATATATTAGGTTAAATTTCCTCAGATTACCTCAACACTGAATATGCAGAAATGGCTGAAGCTGGCAGGGCTATGGCTGAAGGCCAAACTGAGGCAAAGCTGAGGTAGATGGAGTCATTTAGCTCTTGTTTCTTAGTTTGAAAAGGAGCAAACAAGCATAATGTTCAGCTTGGCTATTTAAAATTAGCAATATTAGTCAAGATTTGCTCTGTAAGATTAACTATTTTATGCTGCTGTGACCAAAACCACCAAGAACACCACCATGCTCAACACTACAAAAAGCCTCTTCAAAAGACTGTTCAGAATCCCTCCAGAAAAAAGCAAGTCTGGTACTTGGTAAGTACTTGATCTCGCTGGGCAGAAGCAACTAATCTGCAGATGTTACTGAAATGCTTTTGCAAATAGAGGAGGAAATCTCTCTGTAACTGACACCAACACCCCTAACTCACCCATTCTTGTCATCATTACTCTACCAGGAGAGAAATGCAATCCTTTCCCTCCTATCAAAAAGCAACTCCCAACCAGCCTCTTCATTTCAGTCTGATTTCTGCAGTGCTGTGCAGGTGCAGCTTGCTATATAGAGATGTCTTTAGGGCCAGGAGGCTGTGCTCTCATGGGCTCACTCTGTTATGGTGCAAGGCAAACCTACCTTTCACTAACCCACCCCATGAAAGGGAAATCTTAGAAGACTCATTTCAGGGAAGCTCTTCCACCCACACCCCTGGCTTGGAGCCTCCCTACAGCTCCAATTCCACAAGCCCATTAATGGTGCTTCACTGACCAGAGCTCAGTGAAAGCAAAGTAAGGACATCCCCAAACCCTCCAGCCCTTGACTCATGTCCCAAGAACGGAATGCCCAACACAAGCACCTCCACTGCTCCTCCCACACTGCCACAGCCATCTCTTAACCTTGACTACAGTGGCCCTCAGTAAGACAAAGAAAACACCCTTTGCTTTCGCCTGTTGGATGATGCAAACCTACTTGCTGACCTTTCTGGATGAACATTTTTCTAGTGTGAATGGGCCAGCTATGATCTCACTACCTTGTCAATGAGGAGGAAGCGGGGAAAGCCTTTTCAATGTTCAATCAAAAGAGAGCTTTTATGCAGTCTGACATCAGGGGAAAACACAAGCCGGCTTTCCAACTGCACCGCAGAACAGCTGAGAAGGCTCTCCAAAAGCGCTCCCCCTACCTTTCCAGCGACCCTCACTCTGGGCCAGCTACTTAATGGCATGAGCAGACATTCAGCTCTAAACGCAGGATTGGCAAAAGGCTCAGAAAACCATCAATTACATCAAAGCTACAAGAGGATCTGACTCTGGAGGGCATAAATATGGATTGTGTTCTGAGAGTTCTGGTGTGACAGTGGGGTCAGCCTACAACCTTTACAATGAACATCCTGTTCCTGCTTGACCTCTTGTCCTTTTTTTCCCCTGCTACTTAATGACCGTTTGGAGCAGTCTTGGAGCTTGGAAAAAAAAAAATGTCCTCCAAAGCTGGCTGACGTATATTGATATTGCTGGTGGCAATATATTTACACAGCCACGAAAAGCAGCTGCTCAGCTGAGCCTACTTTTAGCTTGTGCCCTACTAAAATGAATGCAAATCTAAAAGCCCTACAACCATATCAGCAAAGTGAATGAGGGAAGCAGCCCCAGCAATGACATCCTGCAAAGCTGCTGCCAGCTGGGGAGTTTGCTTGGTGTCCCCAGCAGTGGGGGACTTTGGCAGCCAAACCTCTCTCTCTCATATGTTGTCTCACCCATCACTGCAAGGGTAGGAAAAGAAGTACAAGGTTGCAGTATCACACACAGGTACCAACAGCAAGTTTGTAATACACATCTCAACTCTTTGCTGGGCACTTCCAGCTGCTTTGTATGTGTTAGTTGCTACACAAAACTAACTGGAAGCTGCATCAAACCCAAAGGCAACAGCACTAAACCCTGAGGCACTTTGATGTTTAGCTCCTTTTTGGAAAGGCTTACAATTGCAGTCATTCAACTTCCCCAGTTTGTTCTCAACCCTCAAATAATTACTGATCCCAATTTTTAACTCATTTTTAATTGTTTCTGCAAAGCATATCCCACAAAGGAAAGGCAGAAAGCAAGTGTAAAGTATGATTATTTTTGGAAACACTGAGGGAATCTGCTCAGATGTTTCTCTGGCTTATTTGGATGTGAAAACATTTTTCAGATATTCAGAAAGAGAAAAGAAAAAGAAATTCTGCTCAAAGTCATGTCTGCACATATGAAAAAAAAATGAAATGGCTTTGGTGCCTAAATTTTTTGTCTAGGACATACAGCACTAAGTGAATAGCACTTTTCTAAATAAGAAATTCATTGCAAGTACAGTGATCAGTGTGTTGTGCTGGGCAATTTTATGTTCAAGAGTGTGGTGGTTTCTTTTCTTTTTTAAATTCTGCTCTTAAAATACTCAGGGCAACAAGAACAACAAGAACTTAGAGTCTTCACAATATAAATGCTAAGTGTAAGTCTAATCTCCTACACACAGATGTAGATCAACAGTACTTGTTTAAATACTGATAAAAACTAGAACACAGTGAAGCCAAATGAACATAAATATTTCACGTAATATTTACTGGAAAGTTGCAATAGGGATTTTGTCTAATGAGTAAATACAGCATGAAGCTGTTGAGTCTTCTATCCCTGGGGTAAGATAATTTGAAACACATTTTTTCAGATCAAAAGTGTTATGTTGTCAAATATAAAAGCCCAGTTTAGGCTGCATAATATTTAATTAAGAAAACAGCATTCCATACTGTGATTTATTTATTTTTTTAAGTCCAATGCCCCTTGAGTCATTTTATCTTCTTAACTTTAAGATCTGTACTGCGCGAGATCATGGGAAAGACACAATCAACTTTATTTTCATTACAAAAGAAGAAAACCTAAAGGGAATCCTGCGAAAACCAAATCCAAACCCAAGATTTTCCAACCATCACGTAACTTGAAAAGGCCATCTGCTCACTCAAAACGGAGAGGAGCATTCTGTCTCATCCTGTGGCCAGGAGGATGGGTAATGAAGATCCGGGTCATACGGCACAGCCATGAGAATATAGATGGAGTTTTCGGACTGAAGAGGACCCTCTGAGGGCTCTGCAGCCAGGATTTGCTCACCTTGACACTTCTGTGGTGTATCCGGGACGGCTGGCATTTCACACTGCTGGTGTTGCAGCAGCCAGTGCAGCGCTTCACCTCCACGCAGGGCGGCCATATCAGGAAGTTGGCCGAGGTGGGATCGATCTGACTCCGAGGTATCTCGTAGATGACCGTCCGTGTCTTGCAGACAGCCGGGATGGCCTCCTCTGCGGGCACAAGAAATTCACACTTCCAGGTGAGCAGCTGCTCTCACCTCACAGCACGCAGATGTTTTACACCCTCCCTAAGTGGCACCCCTGAGCCGTGAGTTGAGATGGTGTTCTGAGCTCCCCCCGGTTACTGACAAGTCAGTGCTGAGTATTGTTTGCCTGCCACTAAACTGTGTGTGTGCTACCCGAGGGAGAAGCTTGACTCACTCCCAAAAGCCCAGCCCAGAAACGAGGGTTTACAATGGCCTGGCTCCCAACATAGCTCGGAGTACATACCATTAGATAAGACAATCCTGGCCCTTTAGAAGTGACAGCAAGCCAGGGGCTCCTCCAGATTTGATGACCCTCTAATACAGCCTCATAGCGACTGCGTAACAGCAGCTGTTATTTTCCAGCACTGTGGCAATCACTGCACACACATGGTATCACACAAACATGCAATATCTGGCAAATACCACCTCAGCGGTTCCACTGATGTTACCTGAGTCATACCCAAACTGGTTCAGCTGGGAGAAAACCTGCACCAGCTTGAAGCTTTCAAGATTTGGGTTTCAACTTCCAAAACCTTAACATCCTCACATCAGGGAGTCTGGTCCCTCCACCATTCCAAGGGGCAATTGCAATTTTTACTGAAATTATCAAAGCTTTGTACATGGTGGGTTTTATTTAATTTATGTAGCATGACCAAAAAACCTGCAGCTGAACCAAATCCTCAGGCCTCAGGTAAGGTGAGCCTGTAAATCACAGCTTCAGCCTCATATTATATAGTTCTGTACTACTGTGTAATGCAGTCACGATCCAAACCATGTCATCATCCTCATCCTAGGGACTGCCTAAGAAGTCAAGTTGATATTTCAAAATGGTCCAGCAAAAAATAGCAATCGCAGGGACAAGTTGTTTGACGATAAGTTCTCCAAAGACAGCTTGGATTTTTTTTTTTTTTGCCTTACAGTGGAAGCAGTGATAGCTTTGGGTTAGATGTGTCAAGGAACTGGAACACTGCCTGCACTTCTTCAGTTACTTCTGAAGTACAAGAAGTTCAGGCCTGGCCTGTGCCTGTAACGTGAAAATCTAGGTTCAGTTTTGAAAGAGATGCATTCAATGGACTAAATAGAGTGAAAATTCTTTTTCTCAATCCCCAGCGCCATGAACTCAAGAAAATTAACGGATCCAATACTGCAAGATAGCTGGCAACTCCCACAACTGAGCATATCCAGTTCCCACTGACTTTTATGGGGAGGCATTCAACACCTTGCAGGGTAAGGTGCCAAGTGTAGCAGACTGTTTCAGAACCGCTGTTCTCTGGAGGCATTCAATGTGACGAGCGCGCTTGCCAATTCACACTGCAATGCACGCTGACAGCACGCTGCGCTATCGCTGCGTCCCACCACAGCTGAGAGCACAAATAGACTGACTCCGAGCTACCCATCCCAGATAAGATCATGGACGTTTTCCACAGTCAAACGGGAATGGCAGAACACCCAGGCCTAATCAGATGAACAAGCATTGCACACAAACCCTGTGCTACCATCTCTTTAAATTTATATTCGGGTGTTGTCGGGTCACCGTCATCGTCGCTTAATAAGAATAAAATCCCCTGTAAACATGCCCAGTGCCCTATGCAATGATGGAAATCAATGTCCTGGCGTTTCCATCAATGGCTTTTAATTTTTAGGATAAACTGTATTTTTCTTGTGAATAAAGAGTCAAGCTGTTTCCTTTTGTGGAGCTTCTGTACTGAAAACTCTACCAACTGTTGATGTTTTTTAAGGCACACTGCTGTAGTTGTTCCCCACACTATGAATTATACATTGAATATCACAGCATTTTCTAACCGAGGTCTAGCTTTCGAACATGCTGCAACAAGAAAGTGAATGTAAAGAATTTGTGCTTGTCTGTCTCCTATGGACATCCTCCAGAAGACAGCTTCTCAGGCAACGGCTCGTTTTGTGCAAAAAGAAAGGCAGAAACCAGAAATGCCCTTTTTTCCCTTTGTGCATGTCACATTTTTCCAGTGAAATGTCCTGCTTGGCTGACCAAAAGCACCCCCTCTGCTTTCACTCCCAAAGTACAAACAGCTTGTTTCTTACCAATGCTTCTTTTTCTGCGAATGGGCACAGGACGATTCTCTTGCACATGTTTAGCAGAATGAACGCTATATGATCTCAAGTTTGTTTCTGAAACATCATCATATCCTAGGACAGGAAACAAAATATTAAATCTCAGGTATGTTATTTGCATCAATGTCTCTACAGTGCTGTTCCATACATATAAATCTGTGCCGTTCATATGCACAAGACCAAATCCTGCTGCAATTAGTCCAATATACCCCCTTGTTAATGCAATTGCAAGGGTAAAAGGCAGGGAAGACACAGACATAGTAAAATGTCATGTATAAGCATGCACAATTTAATTCTAATATCCATTTTACCCTGAAACAGTGCACACACTGTGGCAGAGAACCATACCTAAAGTAAAACAGTTGCATTTTTATCTGGAAGGCATAATACAGCTTTTCTTACTGGAAAGGTGTAGAAATAGGAACAATAATACTGCATGTGAAATGTTTCTAACAAGCATTTTGAAGTTCTTGTATGAGACTACAGTAGAAAATATGGTATTACAGACCCAACAGCAACAATGCTGCCTCTGTAAATTTTCTCTTGCTTGGTTTTCAGGGCAGCACTAGGACAGAATCAAAAGCAAAAAGTAACTAGCATGGGTTTCCTTTTAGCCTCTCTGTTGCAGAACAAATCCCCTGTGAAGTATCCTAACCTTTGGAGGGGCATCTGAAGCTACTGCAGACTCTGGGACTGCATCCAGGCTTGTCTTGTTCCCTAAATAAGCCTACCACATGGGTTAAAGGGCCATGAGAAAAAGCAAAGATGGAAAACTTGGCATTTCATTTATCATAAAAAACAACAAAATAACTGCTCCAACTATTTGGTTTTGTTAAGTGAAGCAGTTCAGGTCGTGTCCCATGCAGTGGGGTTCTGAAAACGACCAACACAATCTGCAAACGGGGGATCAGGAAGATGTAAGCAAACAGAGGACTGCACACAGATTCCAGTACACCAAAACTAAGGATTTTAGCACTCTGCTGCTTGGAGTGTCCTCTGTAACATCACTGTAGAGTTTCAAGGTTTCACTGCTGGCTCCAAAGAAAATTGTGCTGTGCACTAAAATATGTAAATGGACATTACACAGGACTCAACTACTCTCTCTGCAAGCTACCAAAATCCTATACTCCCATCTTCTGCACTGTCACACTCCCTGCTTCCAGTTCCTTTTCTATACTCAGTTGACTGTGAGTCTGGAACTTGTTTTACTCAGCTTTACTAGGAACACACATCATAAGGCTCTGGTCTACAAACCAACCAACTCCTTTTCTCCTCCCTCCAAGAAACCGTGCCCTAAGGAACATGGAGCTTGTGAAATCACCTGCAGAGCCAGGTAAGATGTGAAGACAGTGGTATCTTCAGCACCTTAGAAAGAGCTCTGTGCCTCAGGGTTTATCATCACTTCTTGGAAAACGCTATTTTAGGTAGCTAAGAGAAGATATGATGGGAGGTCCAAGAGACAGTGCCAGGATCACCCACCGCTCCTGCCTATTCTCCTTATCAGCTGAACAGATCCTTGTCTGAAATAAGTCATTGTGAAATTCAGTCTTAAACTGGCTCCTACTTCCTATGTAGGGTGCCTGTTTCCCATAGATTTCGATGGGAAATTTTGGAACCTGACCAATTATCTGGTATTGGGCCTTATTTGCAGTCCCAGTCCTGTAATGTAACACAGCAATGACTAATGGATTTTATTTCTGCTTTTATTGTACCCCATACTCCAGAAAACTCATCAGTGGGATAAATAAAATGGTTTGCCAGAGATCCCACAGGAAGTTTGCAACTGAGCTGGGGAGTGAAGCCAGGTCTCCCACATCCCATTCCAATGGCACCAGGCCATCCACCTGATCCCAAATGGTGTTATGCAAAATGAGGATCCGTTCTGATGTGTCTCCAGCCCTCTTCTGTTTCCTAGCACTCAGCCACCCAACACCTTCATACTGACCTCCTTTTTGGCAGCTTCGAGTTGTCATAACCTCTCCCTCAATCTGAGGCAATGAACTGATACTCAAAAGAAAGCAGCACGAATTCTGCTCAGCCTAAGATCTGAGCTAGGTCCAGAGCAAGAAGCATCTCTGTCCACAAGCAAACAGTGTTTAAAAAGAGATTAAACACAAAACTAACACCTCTAATCCCAACTGCTTGGTGGGAACACTCATCCTTGCTGAAAAGAGAAACTGTGGATGTTGCCAGCTGTATGGCAGGTCTGGGCCACAGGTCCTAATCCCACACTCAACACGCTGGCATAGCTCCCTTCTACCACGATGGATTTCTTGCTGTCTTGTTTAAAGAAACTGGTTATGATCAGCTAGACTAGTATGATCAGCTAACCAATATGTTAAACCATGTGCTTATATATAACTGTTCGACTCAGCTGCAATTTGCCACATTCCATCGTCATGTTTACAAAGCAAAATGACACGTCGAGGACCATGTGTTGCTTATAAGATGATTTTTAAGGTGAAGAAGGCCCCTGGCTCATACTGCATCTCACTGTCTCACTACATATCTTAAACATGTATATCATTTCCTAAGTTCATGTCTCTTCTGTGAGGGTTAAAAAAAGAGATCTACAAAGCCAGCACAGCAGACTACAAAACAAGTTCCAGTCAAACCTCAGTGCATTATGCAACACAAATTGTATTATTTCTATCGACACAGCATCCATGTTGGGTTTTTCTTAATAAACAGAATTACAGAGCGCATGGCTGGAGCCAGAAGACACTAAAATGCTAAAGGCATTTGGCATCCCCCTGATCCCCACAGGCATTTGGAAGAAATTCCATTTCCCAGTGAAGTCAATGGGAAAATCATTGCACTTCAAGCAATCTCTAAGTCAACAGGAGTCTTGCCCAAGCAGGACTGAAAAATCACCCAGTCAGCTTTGAAACTCACACTACTGGACCCTGGATGTATGGCCAGAAGACTTACTTTTATTTCACCTAAACCACAATGCTACAAATAGCACTCTCTAGTTTGACTTAAGGAAGGCTGATACCTAATTTGCATCAGTTTTTCCCCCTAATGTACTGATTTAGTTGCAGGATAAGGATGAGCTCTCAGCAAAGGAAATGGGAGTTTATGGGTGCTTAGCACCTCACAAAATGAGGCTCAGAGCAGAAAGCCTAGAAACGGGTGGTTCTTAGTTTAGAAATCGAACACTGCTTGTCACCAAGTGAAGATGGAGGATGCTGCACAGAGCCAGATTAATGCAGCTCTCTTTTAACGTTTTAATAATAAAAAAATGTTTTCGTGGCAGCCGATCAAGAAATTTCTCTGTAATCTTTTATGTACTGACAACATATCAATGATGGGCATAAAAACTCTTGCAATTAGCCTTGGTCAATCCATTAGTGTAGCTGAAATTGTTCTTTTTTGTCAGATTGGCAATTTTCCACTGGGTCATGGAGTATAAATCACAGAGTTTCTGTGACGCTGCCAATACGTGATTACTCTTCTCCCTGAAGAAGCATGTGGAAAGCATCCTAAGATTACTGCTATTTTATATTTATCAATTTATACTTTTTGCATTACCATCTTCCTTCCAAACTACTTTATGTGAGGTACAACCCCCAATACATGCAGACTCAACACAAACCCTCCTAGACATCACTTTGATGTGCATCCAGAAAGTACAGATCCAAGACTTCTAGTACCAACAGCAGCAGTTTAGGAAATTCTCATTATCTCTTTTTTTTTCAGGAATTCAATGCAAGGTACAATAAACAGAAATGGTCTGTCTTACAAATCGGTCCTAGAGCCAGAAAGCCCAAGGCAACATCAGACTGTTTGTTTGATCTTTTTGGCTGATTCAAAATACGCCCTTCTGACATCCAACTGCAGAGATAGATGTCATTAAGTTTTCAACTTTGATCTATTGAAGGAAATATAAGTAACAGCCTGCAAGATCCTGTTTTGTTTAGTTTTTATTTTTTCTTTTACCTAGATGTGATCAACCATCTGTAAAGGAGGAGGAGTAGTCCCTCATCTGTCTCAGGAAAAACACAGGACACACACGGCAGATGCCCTCCTCCCATCATGCCTAAAAGGTGCAAGGAAAGCCAACATACTGCACCGTAACATCCTCCATCTGAGCACCACACCAAAAGCCACAAAGTCAACAGCAGATTTTCCAACAGACTGAGCTCTGCAGCAATCTAAGGCTTCTCCATGAAAGTATTACTGCTAATTTAGAACATTTCTCCACTTAACAAAAGCTGCTCTGCTGGTTCTTAATCACAGGCCGTTAAATTCACATGGCCTAAGGGGACCCTGCGGTGGATGCCCTTAAACCATGCAAAGAAGCACACTCAGCCCTGCCTTTCCCCACGAAGGGAGATGACTGGGGGGAAAAAAATCTGTTCCCAGCGGGAGGCAAACATAATAGGTGATGAAATGAACTCTACCTCCCACAGGACAGACGGGGAGAGGTGAAGCGCGAGGAGAAAAACCACCCTGCTAAGCCGAAGAGAACTTCACAGGCAGAATATAGGAAATGCCCCCGTTTCGGTGGTTTAGTCTGCTCGTAGTAAAACTGTACTCTGCACACTAGAGCTGCCTACTTCCTGGGGCTGGGCACGCTTTCTCCTTCAAACGGGGTCAGATTCTGCTCTCCCTCATGCCAAGGCAATTCTGCCACTGCCGATGGGTCCCAACCACAGCAAATTAATACAAGACCCCTATTTTCTGATGTAAAGAGAGAATTTTCACGTTGCCTTTTCGGACATGCAGCACTGGGCTCTGACAAACTGGCCTGGATTTTCTTTTTTGAATACAATGTTGGGTAGTGTTTTTCTTTAAGTAATATGCCAGATGGTCTGGGGGTGTGGTTTCTAATTTTATGAAGGGGGTTATCAGTCATCTCTGCGCTACAATATAGAGACCAAATCTGTCAGAATAGAAGAAAAACCTGCCCACTCTGACTTACAGAACTTACTTTTCCAATTAAAAATATGTGTTTTGCACTGCAGGAGAGAAAATGACTGTTCTTCCTTCATTTTCCACAGATTCCGCCTTGTTACTCAGGAATATCAGACATTTTCTGCATGCATGCCTGATCCTGCAAACTCTTAGCCTACAAGATCATTCTTAATTCTCAAGTCCACCCACAGAGTTTAAACAGGGCTACTCACATGCAGAAGGACTGGCAATACCATACACTAAAATGAGGGAGAGAACAGTCACTGGAGTGATTTTGCTCTGAGCCTCAGTTTAAAATGAGTACATGCTATAAAAGAGAAATATACCTAATGTACGAGCCCTCACTGAACTAGCCCTTCCCTAAAGGCAATTGCAGCCCTAAGGAAATGCATTTCACAAATATCAATTTATCAGGGGCAACCAGAAAGCATTTGATTTGCTAATTGAAGCTAATACTAAATATAGTAAACAGGCCTGATCCTGTTTACTGAAGAAAGCATGGCAATTTCAATGTTTGATTAGTCACTCTGATAAGCCCTTAGTAAGAATTACTCATGACAGTAAAGCCCGTGGGACTGTGCCCAGAAAATGCAAACGCTGGTAGTAAAGACAGGTTACTCTGAGAAGACCCAATCGTGCCTGTGCAGCTCAGAGTACAGCTCAGCACACGGGCAAAGGGAGCACTCACATAAGCAAGAACCGGGTGAAAGGCTGAATATTTTGGTTTTATTTTTTAATATTGTTTGAGTTCATGTCTTAAGGAATTACTGTTTCATGTTGAAATAGTAAAATATTTATGTGTCTTGTTTCTCTAATGGTTTCTACACTGACAAATTGCAAGAAAACAGCAAAATGAAATGGTAAACTCGTAGCTGACCTCTTCCATTTTTGGTCTTGCATCCCCTGGTTAATATTCGCCACGAGGTAAATAATTATGTTCCGAACTAAATTTCTCTGCTCCATCTACCAATTTGTTCAGCTCCTGCCATTGCTCCACTTGTCTGCTTGATTCTCTTGCAATGGAGCCACGTGAACTTTTGCTCTCCTTCTAAGTGGTGTTTAAAAATGAAGCATGTGCTTCTTACACTGAGGTATTTGAAAAAATAACGTGTTCTGGTAGCTACAGAACCCTGACTCAAAGGCAGAAGCAGCATGCATTATTTTAAAATGTGAGCACTCAGATCCAGCCCTTCTGCAACAGCAGCCAACTCTACTGAGTTCACTGGGAAAAAGATTTTAGCAGTAGTGCACTTGTCTGTCCAAAACAGCCTTCACTGGGGAAATACTGCATGCCCTTTCCCTGTTGTGAAAGTTTCTTTAATTGCAGTGATAAACAACAATGCTGAAGCACCACTCTCCAAAAATACTAAACTGATGCCAATCTGGTAAGCAGTAATTAGCCTCTATGGTAAAGTGCCCGTGGTTCTAGAGAAATATTCCCATTTTCAGTGTAATGGGAAACCATTTGCTCCCTAATCACATGAAAATTGAAAGCTATGCCTGCAAAATAATGCATTCCTGCTCATTAATAGAGCACTGTACAAAAAGCAGTGAGTTAAAACTCTAGAAGGATCCTGCAACACTGAATGAAGGTGATTGAACCTGGCACAGACTTTACAAAAATACACAGCATATGGTTTAAAGGGAGATGGCCCAGTACCAATGCAAGCAAGAACTCATTCATTTTTCTCCATGTTTGTGCTTCAGCAAGATGCAGGTTTCCCTTGGGCATATCAAAGGTGCCGGGTTTCTCTCTCAACTGAGGGAAGAAATCATCAGGAACAAAGTGCATCAAGTGAAACCAAATGATAAGAAGCCCAGCAATACAGTGCTTCTAGACCTGATTTACTGCTGTAACGATCTGTTTAACTGCACGTTCTCACTACACCCATTTGCATGCCTAATGATGCAGAAAATAACCCTGCACTATTTTCTTTTGGAGGAAAAAAAAAAGTGTATTTTTCAGGGTAGGCTTCATATGCAGGTTCCTGTTTAAAATCAGCACGGAGGGTTTATTTTCCTTTTAATAAAGCCCAGTGCTTGAAGAGACATTACTTCATTCATAAATATTGTTTCAAATATTTTAAATACCTCTAGGACAGTAGTTTAAAGATAACAGAGCATTGCAAGACCCAACAACAAACCTCAGGGAAATTCCTCTCTCCGCTTGAGAGACGGAGAGGTCTGAAAACACGGGGGGTCACTGGGTCCCTCTCCACCCTGAACCCCCCGAAGTTTTAATTCCCGATCGGCCCCTTGGCCGCCGCCTCCCTTCTGACAAGATGCTCAGCACCGAGGTCGGGTCCCCGCACGGGTCTCGGGGGCCGGAGCGGGGCGCGGGGCCGCCCGCGGTGCCTCCCCCCGGGGCGGCGGCGGCCGACGGCGCGGAAGGAAGGAGGACGGGACTAATTTACCTACGGAGTCAATCTCCAGGAGGCGCTGCAAGTCGCGGATGCTGTGGATCTCGCTGTGCGCCAGCCGCTCGATGAGCTCCTGCGGGATCTCGGCCTCCTTCAAAGACACACACACACCGCGGGTCACCGCGCAGTCCCCGCCGGGCGCGCCCGCAGCGCGGGGCGCTCAGCGCGGCGGGGCTCTGGGGGTACAGGGAGGGCGCGGGGCGTTCGCGGGACGCGTTTGGACTAAGCAGGAGAAAAACCCACGCACGTACACACCCACCCCAGCTCCACGGAGCGCTCCCGCCGCCCCCGCCTGCGCGCCCGACTGCGCCACGGCTCGATCCCGCCCGGCCCGGCCGGGGCAGCGTGTGCCCGGCAGGGATGTGCCCCCGCGCCCCGCTCGGCGGCTGGAGCCCACCCCGGGCAGCGGCTGCCGAAGTTCGCCCGAGCGGGTGCCAAGTCCCCCGCGGGCGCGGGCTCCCCCGACCCGGGGAGGAGGAGGAGGAGGACCGCGTCCCATGGGGCGGCCGCCATCCTACCAGCGCCCACGTCGCGGCTCCCAGTGCCAAGCAGACGCGGTCCCGGGAAAAGTTACAGCCGCCGTGCAGCGCCGAGCACCGCGCTCGCCCCGACCGCGGCCACCTGTAGCAGCCCCAGGACGCGGCTCCGCGCCCCCTCCGTCCCCAGCGGGCGGGCGGGCGAGCTGGCTCTCGGCTGCTCCGGGGGAGCTTCACAAACCGGGGAGGGGCGTTTTGGGGCGGGGGGGGAGGATTCGCCCAACTTCTGCCCGCGGCACTCGCGGTGCCCGCGGTGCAGCGCCGGGCGCCGCGGGGGCGGCCGCGCCGGGCCGGGCGGCTCCGCGCACCCTCGGCTCCCACACAGCCGCAGCCCGCTGGCACCCGCGGGGCGTGGATATTTTACCATGCATTTATAATATATGTAATATATGTATTATATACATATATATAAATTTTTAAGGGCGGCCAGTAGCCTGGGAGCGGAATGCACGGTCATTCCCCTTCGCCTCTGCCATGCGTGAAATGGCAACTTGCTCCCAAGCCTCGGCCGCGCAGGGCCCGGGGCAGGGCAGCGCTGCCGGCGGGGCCGGAGCGCGGGGATGCCCGCGGAGCCCAGGTGGGCAGCCCGCTCCCTCCCCGCTGCCCTCCGCCCCGGCTCGCCCCGACCCCCGGCTGCGGCCGTGCCCCGGGGACCGGGAGCGCAGGGAGCCGCTCTCACCTACCTCGGAGAAGGTAAAGGACAGGTAGCCAAAACCTATCAGCAAAACGCAAGCCCAGGTCCTCATCGCGGTCTAGTGCACTTTAGACACGGAGGGAAGGCAACGCTGATGGAGAGGAGCTGCAGGCCGGCTCCTGCCGCGCAGAAATTCAGTACCATCCCTCAGGGGAAAGGCAGCGGGGTGGCTCGGGGGTCCTCCGCATCCAGGGGTGGGTCGGGGCTGCCCGGGGCGGCGGTAGCTTAATGACGGCGCGGCCGCTGTTTGTACGTTCCCTTCGCTACGGGAGCGTGGCTGCTCTCCCTTCTGCCGCTCTCGCTCGCTCCTCTTGGCTCTTAGGACTAGACCAGCCGGTACTTCTGCATATTTGCTTAGATCAGACCAAAGTGAAACCCAAGGAGTCGATCCGGAGCGCAGCCGAAACGCCCATCACCTGTCTGGGGCGGCTGCCCCCCTCTCGCGGGCGGCGCTGGGGCCGCCTCCCCCCGCCGCCGCGGCCGCGCTCCGCGCTGGGACCGCGGGGCTGCGCTCTCCACCGAGGGCCGGCCCCCCCCTGCCGTGCCTGCCCTCCACCCGGCCCCTCCTCGGAAAGGGGAAAAATCAAAAATCTTTATTATAGATACGGAGCGAAATGTTTCTCTTGCCGAGAATGGTCCCGCTTCCCTCCCCGGCGGGGGGGGGAGGGCGAGGTCAAAAATAATAATTAATTAGGAATAATAGCAGGGAATTAAATCGGAGCAGTGTTGCAGGATCTCGCGGGCTGCCTTGGTGCAGTTCCTGCTCCACTTTGCACGGGAGAAAAAAGAGAGGAGGAGGAGGAGGAAGGGGGAAAAAAAATATATATATATATGCAAGAAGGTTTAAATCCCAAGGGGATCGGAGACGAACTGCAACTCCAGGCGGAGAGAGGCTCCAGGCTCGCTCCGGAGCAGTGGCCGGTCTGGAGGGTGGCCCCGGCGAGGAGCAGCATATACCGCTCCCGCCCCGCCGTGCGCCGCCCCCGCCCCTCCTCCCGGGTGCTCCGGCACCAGACCCACCAACAACAAGTCGTGGGGGTGCCGGCAGCTGCGGCGCCTGCTCGAGGGCGAGGGGGCTCTGCCCACTGCGAGGGGAAAATAAGGAGCCGGCGGCGGGCAGGGGCCGGGGGGAGCAGGGCAGCCCCCGCCGCCGGCCCTCTGCGGCACCGGGCGGGGAGGCGGGCGCTGCTGCGCAGCAGCCGGCGTGTAACCTGGCGGGATCGGCCGTGTGCCCTGCCTTTACATAAGGCACAGCGGATCGCCATGGCCACGGAGCGATCGTGTGTGTGTGTGCGCGCTTTCTTACCGTTGTTATTATTTTTTACCGGGGGGTGGGGGGGTGAGGGGGCTTTCCTTTTGTAGAAGGGGAGGGGCAGCAGAGCGGCGGAGGGTTGTGGTGTGGAGGTTTTAACGTTGCTGTTGCAGCGCAGCCTTCGCTGCGAAGGAGAACGCGCACACGCGGAGACACACACACACACCCCTTAAGGAACACAAAATCACCCCCAAAAAGAACGAAGGCGGGGGGGGATGGCGGGGGGCAGCGGCGCCCTCCGCCCTGCGGCACCCGGCTGCGGCAAGCGCGGGCGCGGGGCTCCCCGCCGCGGCCGCGGGGACGCGGCGCCCCGGGACTCCGCCGCAGCCGGACCCACCCCCCGCAACCGCACCGGCACCCCGCACCCTCACCGAGCTGTCTCCGAACCCCGCAGCCGGCCCCGGTCCGGCCCCGCTGCTCCGTTGGCGTTCCCTTCGCATCCTGCCTCCCCGCTGCCCCGGCGAGAAAACTGCCCCCTGCTCCCCGGCGCAGATTGGCACAAGGTGCCTGCTGCACCCTGACATCTCCCTGAACTCATTGTGATTTAAATAACAGGCCTTTCTCATCTAAACAAAGCTTCTTAATAGCAGATGCAAAGAATTCAGCTCATCTGAAAATCCAATAGCATTTAAGTGGATTAACTGCAATAACACAACTGAGGAGTGATACTATCCTTCATGGAAGACAATAGACTGTAAATGCACAGCCAGGGAGACTTATCCTTTCATCTCTGAATTTCCTTCAGCATTTCAAAAGCGAATGCTTTCTAGAAGCCCTGAAGGGGTTTGCACGCTACTGGCTTGGACATGCTTCTAGGAAACAACCTGTGCTTTAATGGGCACTTTGCAATTGCATAGAAGTTCCCACCAAAACAGAAGTGGCCTTTCAAGTACATTTAATTCTCTCTCATGATGTCATGTAGGCTTACAGGGTGGTCTCCAGGACCACAAGGGGGGAAAAAAAGGTGGGGGTTGAAAAGAGAGAAAAGGAAAAGAGATGTAAAAGATTTGGAAGCACTTTAAAAAGCAGAATGCTGCTACTTTTTTTTTTTTTTTCGAGACAGAAAATGCTGAGCCAGTGTGGAGCCATTCTCAAATGCCTCCTGATATAAAAAAAATGACCCGAGTGCCACACTGACACTGCAGCAGAGCCATCCATGCAGGGCAGGAGGAGGCAGAGCAGGGCAGGGCAGGGCACTCTCATAGTGCCACCACTTTCTTACATGGCAGAAGTAAAAAGTGATGACTTCAGTTAAAAAAAAGTCTCATCTGCACTTATCATTTGCTGGGGTTAAAGAAACAGTTCTTATGCTCTGTGTTGTCATAGTAATAAAAAAAAATAATTACCAAACAGTGAAATAGATTCTGACAGTACCGGCTGGCTGAGCATTTACTCCTCTCCTTTCTTTCTTGGTTGGCTAGAGTGTTTGGGATCAGAAGTGCTGGGTATTTGTTGCTCTTGCAAGCGGTATTCCACTGTGAAAACCAACAAAGATAACTCCTGCTTTATCTATTGATTAAAAAAAAAAATCTATTCAGTTTTGATTTTTCTTACCTTTCTCTCATTTTACAAGAGACTACTGCATCAGCATCTTTTTTAAATCTGTCATTGTGGAGCTCAGATAAGCATCTTTCCTCTGGGTCAAGTTACACTTGGAGTAGCTTTTAACATTAGACTGTTTATGGGGATCATTGCAAATATTTGATAATAATGCAAAATATGTAAGATCCCAGGAGAGAGCAGAGACCAGGGAACGTAAATAAAATTCACACAGATTCTGCAAACAACTTTATACTTGGGTTGTGTGTTTGCTTACAAAACACATTTTGTCCTTGTCTGTTGTTTGATCTAAAAATGTGTTTGTGCCCTGTAAGTCCCTACAAGCACGGAAAGGTACAGCTGAGTGAAAAACATCACACGAGTGCATGTTTGCTTCAGCATGGCACCTTCCTGCAGTCTGCACATCTATCACACACGTGTGCACCAGACATGAAACAGCATCTTTTATGTAACACCTACAAGGCACACATGAGGAAAGAGTGACAGGATGGTAGTTATAGGTTTAAAAGAAAATCAGTATGAAGAACAGAGTGCCAGAATATTAGGTTTTGCACTCTTTTATTTATCTGAGAGCAGCGAGCAAGATATTGCCTTGTCTAATTTAAAGCATGTACTGTTAGAAGTCCCTCAAATGTGAGGAATTATAATAGAATTACACCATGACAGAGCGTTTAGAGGGAGAATTCCCAGGGTTTGCCAAGCACTTGGCATGGGGGAAGGGATGCAGAAGCTCTTTGACACAAAATGAAACCATTTCAGTGTCACCAGTGCTTTCTGCGAAAGGTGTCAGCTGAAGCCAGGGTGCCCCAAATCAGGCTTCCAGCACCCACTACAGAGCTCATTTAAATCTCTGCTGGCTAAGTTGTTAGAAACACAGGTCAAGCCATGTAGCAGGACCAACTCATGTTTCACAGACGTGTGCCAGGCTGCCATGCACAGGGGCACTTGGAGTCAAGTACCATGGGGGGCACTGGGCTGGCTCCAAAATGGTACCTTCAGCCTTCGGCTTCTATTTCAGATGTCAGGCTGAAACCACACTTGCTTGGCCCTCCTGACAAGTCTCGAGATTGCAAGAGGAATCATTTCATTGCATTTCATGACATTCCTGCTGAGGGAGTCTTGGGAAACCTGCCTGAGTGTTTTTCAGACTTGATTTTAGTGGCGATTTTGCCTCATAGATAGTCCAGTTAAAATTATCGAAACAATGAGTATGGGTAAGGGTTTTTGTTGGAAGGGTGGCCTGTTTTTATTGTAGTGTGTGTTTGGGGCTGGTCAAAGCAGCTCGGTGTGTTCTACAGGATATATCCCACCACAAGAGCTGAGAAAGGACCAGGAGCCAAGAGTGTCCTGGCTCTGGAAAGGGACCAGGTCTCAGGTCTCAGATTTGGACCTGCACTGTTCTGTGTCAGTGCCACACAGTGTATAACGAAGGAAAAAAGTTCAGAACATAAAATTCAGAAAGCTGGACAGGAATCTGACCCACTTTGGGTAGTTCCTCTCTGGTTTTGAACATTTCTTTGGCCTGTAGCTTCAGAGGGGCACGTGGCCATGGTGGGGGGAGGTTGTTTTCCCACTCTGCAGCTCAGTTCCTGCCTACCTGCATTAACAGGCATGAGGCTGGCACAGGTGCAGGTGACGTACAGGCAAGGAATTACAAATGCAGAAAGCACTGATGGCAGACACACCATTCCCTTTCCTGAATCTTAGCCCATAAAGAGCAACAAGGAAAGCTGCAAGAAGAACAAGCAAGGCAGTTACTATTCCAGCTGGTACACCTACAAACATGATTTCCTTCTTTCTCAGCTCTTCCTTTTGGATCCTTGCACTGGCTCTGTCCTTCTGGCTGAGCTTTGTTGTCTTTGAAACTTTTGTTGGTGCAGCTTTCCAGATGCTTTCACGGTTGATAATTTTCTTAAATAGTCATGAGATGCAAATCTGCTACAAGGTTCCAGCTAAATGGAGTGATCAGAAGTGGTGTGGAGAAGATTTATGATGTCCTTTCCCTGAACACAGAGGGTGGCTATGGCCAACATCCACCTACGTGGGTTTACTCTTAATGCCACAATATTTCTGAAGATGCTTTGCCCTACAGTGAATGAGGCAGGGTCCCTCTAGAGCTGATCCTCCACCCCAAACTGCCCTTTTGACTTCAGAGGGGGTTAGACCCAACTCTCCTTGGAGAAATGGTTTAGTCTAATAGCTGAGAAAGACAGTTAGTAATGCTCTTGTTAATGTGCTCTTCTCTCCCCCCTCCCCAGCTGCTTTTTACCCAGGAGGTTCAGCAGCACAGCCGAAAGCAAGGGGCTGTTTGACCTTCCCTGCTGCTGGAGCCACTGCTGAGTGACACAGTTCACCTTCAGGGCTGGAGCACAAACTGGCAGCCCTGCCAGCCTGGGTAGCAAGATACCATGTTTAGGCATTAAACTAGGGCACTTGCATACCAGCACTGGCCGCTATTTTGGTGGGTGTATGAAGCTGATCCCTGCTCCCCACCCCTGTGGGACAACGGAGCTGCTGTGAGTGCGGGATATCCTCTGCCTGGTGGATAAAGCTAATAAAAATGGGCTGTGTTTTGTCAGGAATACGTAGTTCATCCAGCTGAGTGACTGTAAAAGTACCAACCCAGCTTAAGGTATGCTGATACACATTGTAAATGAGAGCAATACACACAGGCTCAGCCCCTGGGGTCCCATGTGTGGTGTGCTCATGTCTCCTTGGCAATGTGGGTGTAAAGCTCTTCTGACTCAAATCAAAGCCAGTTGCAGTGATTCTGTGGAGACCATCCAGGATGTAACTCAGCCATGCTATGTACCATAAAATTGTGATATTATTCTTCATTGTTTGTAGCTTGGAGGCCTGTAGAGGCCTAGCTTGGAGCAGTCAGTTTTATTAAGCTCCATCCAAACACAGTGAGATAGTTGTTCTTCCTGAAGAATTCATATTCGTTCTCAAAGTGCAAGCCGCCCCGTTTGTGTTCTTGTATCTATGCAACCTTGTTGCTCTTACAACATTACACATTTGTCCTGTGAGATTCCCTCCCTTACAATAAAAACTCACGAGAATGATACACAC